TTCTTCCTTTTTTCTTTTTCACTTTTCTTTTTTTCATTTTGTTTCTGTTTTCTTTTGTTTTTCGTTTCTTTTTACCTTTCCCTTTTTATTCTTTCTTAACTTTCCTCTTTGCCCTTTTTCTTTTTTGTTGCTGTTTTTTTTCTCTCTTTTCTTTATCATCATTCCTTACCACATTCTTTAATATTTTTTTCTTATTTTTTTTTCTTTTCTTTTACATTTCTGGGCTTTCTTTCTCACTTTCTTTCTTCTCTTTGTATTCAATTATTTCTTTTGTTTCTTTGCTACATTCTCTCTCTCTCTCTCTCTCTCTCTCTCTTTCTTTCTTTCTGATTCTAAATCTGTTTCTCGCTCTCTCATTCTATCTCTTTCCTCTTTCTTATCTTATTTTTTGCTTCCTTCTCTTTCTGTATTTTCCTTCTTTTTTACCAACATGTTTTAGGCACTTATCTTTTGATTTCCTTATCTTTCCTCCTCCTCCTCCTCCCCTGTTCTTCTTTTTATCACATTTTACTTCTTTTCCTTCTTTCTCTACTTTTCAAAGCTCTCTTTCTCTTTCTTGATTTCATTTTCATTCTTTCCCATAATTTTCACTCTTCTTGTTCATTTCATTCTTTCATCTATAATTGCTTCCCTATTTTTCATTCTTTCATTCCTTCATTATTTTTCATTCTTTCATTCCTTCCCTATTTCCCATTCTTTCATTACTTCTTTATTTTTCATTCTTTCATTCCTTCATTATTTTTCATTCTTTCCCTATTTCTCATTCTTTCATTGCTTCCCTATTTTTCATTCTTTCATTCCTTTATTATTTTTCATTCTTTCATTCTTTCCCTATCTCATTCTTTCCCTATTTTTCATTCTTTCATTCCTTCATTATTTTTCATTCTTTCATTCCTTCATTATTTTTCATTCTTTCCCTATTTTTCATTCTTTCATTCCTTCATTATTTTTCATTCTTTCATTCCTTCTTTATTTTTCATTCTTTCCCTATTTTTCATTCTTTCATTCCTTCATTATTTTTCATTCTTTCATTCCTTCCCTATTTCCCATTCTTTCATTACTTCTTTATTTTTTATTCTTTCATTCCTTCATTATTTTTCATTCTTTCCCTATTTCTCATTCTTTCATTGCTTCCCTATTTTTCATTCTTTCATTCCTTCATTATTTTTCATTCTTTCATTCCTTTATTATTTTTCATTCTTTCATTCTTTCCCTATCTCATTCTTTCCCTATTTTTCATTCTTTCATTCCTTCTTTATTTTCTCATCCCTATGTTCCTTCTTCCATTAATCTTTTTTTATTTTTGTCTTTCTCTCTTCATTCTTTCTTTCCTTTTCCTTTCTGTCCTAGACTTTTCCCTTTTTCTCTTTATCCTCTTCTTTTCCATTCCAGCCTCTTTCCTTCTAGAAATCATTAATTTCTTACCATTCAACCAACTTTTCCTAAATGTAAACATATTCAGACTATTATCCTCATCTCTGATGCTTTAATCAATACCAAATCAGTTTGCCTTCAACCATTGTATTGACATTGTATCTATCCAATCAACATAGCCTCAGTTTTTACTTAATTTTTACCTACTGTACAAACACATAGTTCTCTTGTCAGTAAACGGTAGCAGTAAACAAGATAATCTAAACTGGCAAACCAACATCAACGTATATGCACATTCAACCATCCACCCACCTAAAGCCCATGTGTAACACGCAAAGATTAATACATAAATGTTTACATTTGAAAAATAAACATGCTTATGTATATATGTAGGCATATGTTTATGCACATATATCAAATGAATAAAAACTAGAAAAGTTTATAAAATTACTAAAATTTGACATAGTTTAACATGGGCAAAATTTTATCAGTAAAGGGGTGAATAGAGAAGAAAATTAACAATCATCAATGAAATAATAAATGTTCAATTGACTTATCTTTTGGCCAACTACAAAGTTTTGCAGACACACCAATCATAAGGGTCACAAAGTTAGATAAATCTATAAATAGATTCATCTCTCTCTCTCTCTCTATATATATATATATATATATATATATATATATATATATATCTATATATATATATATATATATATATATATATATATATATATATATAATATATATATATATATATATATATATATATATATATATATATATATATATATATATATATATATATATATATCTATAATATATTAATAAATATAGATATTATCCCTCACCGTGAAATAGTATGTTTTTTGTACTTGGTTTATAAGGAATAATATGTATATTTATTATTATATATAATAGCTCTGTTGTAGTACATTGAGCCTTGTTTTATTAACACCAGCACTATATGTGTGATTATAATTATATATATATATATATATATATATATATATATATAAAAAAGAAGAGAAGAGGTGCTGCAAACGTTTTGGTTTAATGTTTTATTTAAAAAAATATTGCTTTTTTTTCTAAATAATATTTTCAAATAACCAAAAAAGCTCAAGGCACCTCTTCTCTTCTTTTAATATACATGCTTTTCTCTCGTTGGAACCACTACAACATATTTCTTTTATATATATATATATATATATATATATATATATATATATATATGTATGTATATATATATATATATATATATATATGTATATACATAATTGATTGATTGATTAATTCATTTTCTATAGCTCATTAACCCTTTGCAGTTTATTTAAAGCCAGAGAATATTGATATGCATTGAACACTGCTGCTATATCTGGTCTGGTGTTACTATTATATATATATCTCAAGATTCCTGACAAAATTCAAAGAATAATCTGGCATCTCACCTTCAGTCACTTTCCTGCTAACATGACATAGCTTCCCTCTGTCTTTTCTACAAATATTTTCATGGCAACTGTTCTGATGGCCTGTTCTTTATTAGTGCTTCAATTGTATGAATTTAAGCATGGATTTGGCAAAAAGGTATCACCAATTTACTGTTGAACGAGCTAAAGTCAAATATCAGTTCTATTCCAATATTTTCTTTTCTTGCACTTCTTCCTTCCTATTTCTTGCATCTCTGCCACTTAACAGTCTTCAAAGATTTAAATGTAACACTAATTGCCATCTTCTATTCCAGAATTGTATTATCCTTTTCTTCACTTCTAGAATATTCTCATTCTCTTTCATTCCCTGTAGATCCCTGTGACCTAGCAGCATTATCACCTTGCTTGGGGTGAAATGCTTAAAAAAAAAAAGAAGATTTATCCAACCACATTTGTTTGCTATTTTGTTCCATTAACTTTTGCCATCTTTGAGATAGTTTTATGATTCCATCCTCCCAGAATTTGGCATCTTTCTTAGTGATGAACTGGTCTAAGTGGTTTTTACAGGCATCTAGAGAATATTGTAGGGATTGAAATAAGCGGTAATCCAAAGGTGCACAGTCAGGTGAGTATGATAAGTGTTGTATGACATACCAGCCAAGTTGTACTACTTTTTGTTAGGTCTGCAAAGAGATGTAAGATAGAAGACAGCACACTTCTGACTAACCAATTCTGGAAGCTTTTCATCGATTGCTACCTGAATTGGTCTAATTGGGAAGGGTACTTATCTGAATTCCATGTCTGATTTTGCCGAATAAGCTTCTAATGCCATTCTGGTTCCACCAGATACAGAACATCTTCTTTGTATACAGATCTGCTCATTTCTTTTCCCCAGGATCTTGTTCAAGTCACAATACACTTTTATTGCCTGTGATGGTTCTTTTCAAAAATGGGTCATTTATTCATTCCAATCCCAGGTCACAGTTTCAGTTTTAGAACGGTTTATATTGAGGCTCACTTCTTGGAACATTTGTAGAAGATGTTGATTTTTTTTTGTTCAAGATCATTCTTATCCCATATTTAGATAACTATTTTCATCAGCCCTCTCATCATCACTATACTGGCCTTGAGAGGGTAAACAAGAGCACTGTTTTGTATTCGTTTGATTCATTTGGTATATGGCATGAAATACTTAAATTATCAGTGACTATCTCTTCACATCGGTGCTTGTATATGCATAGGACATAGTCTAGGAAGAGATTAAATAGATTGGGGCTCTCATTTTTTTTTTCTTATTGTACTCATGACATGCTTTGAAATGATTTGGTATTGAGGTCTTCATATGACTTTGTGGACTGATATAGATGAAGTCCATACCCAAAGGTCACTAAGCAGTGCAGTGTAATTGTAATGACTTATGTAATGGTCATGTTGTGTTCAGGTGTATGGATAGATTTGACCAGTGCCATGTGACCCCCAAGCATGCACCATTCTTGAACCACCATGACTCCACAAAATTCTTTATTGAAAATCAGAGTTCATCAATTCAGGGGGTCTGTCCTACAATTGAATCCTACCATCATGATTCATTGGATCACACCAGATATTGCCAAGTGCTGTGTCTGGTGTCATGGTAGGGCATTCTTGTGGGTCTTCTCCTGGTGATATGGTGGGGGACTCTGATGGGTCTACTTGCTCCAATATACCATGGAAGATAGAAATATTGAATTTGGATTGTATCAGTATGCTTGGAATCACATAATTCCTTTTTGAGCTGTTAGGGCACCATATTACAACAATATCTGTAGGAATACTCAAATTCTTCAACATAGAAAAAAATAATCATTCCAGTCAGTCTGCAGATATAATTGTAGTTTTAATCCAACATTATTTCTTATTACTTTAAGTGTTATACAGTGTAGGTATTTTACCCATAGAGAGGGAAACACTATCATGCCCTATGGGCTTTAAGACTGTTCAGATATGAAACAAATTCATAGCCAAGCAAGGTTAGAACCTTGTTGAAAGGTACATTTATGTAGATACAGAGAAAGAGAGGAACAAACAAAGGTAGAGAGAGGGAGATAAAGAGATGGATAGAGAGATAGAGAGAGATGAACAAAAGTAGAGAGAGAGATGAAGAGACAAAGGTATAAAGAGAGATGAACAGTCACCATTAAAGATAGAGAGAGAGAAAAATGATCAAACAAAGAGAGAGAGAGAGAGAGAGAGAGAGAGAGAAAGAGAGATCAACAGACACAGATAGACAAAGATAGAGAGAGAGAGAAAGATGAACATACAGATAGAGAGATCAACAGACAAAAGTAGAGAGGGAGATAAACAGTCATGGGTAGAGAAAGAGAGATGAATATACAGGTAAATAGAAAGATGAACAAACAGCTAAAGGGAGAGAGATGATCAAGGTTAGTGAGATTGACAGACACAGATAGATAAAGAGAGCTGAAGAGACAAAGGTAGATAGATCAATAGACATGGATAGCAAGAGAGAGAAACGAACAGTCAGCTAAAGAAAAAGATGAAGAAACAAAGATAGTGAAAGAGAGAGAGAGAGAGAGAGAGATGAAAAGATAGGTAGAGTGAGTAATGAAGAGACAAAGGTAGTGAGAGAGAGATGAAGGGATATTTAGATAGGAACAGATTCAGATAGATAGATTATGAGCCTGAGATAGTGTCTTCATTGAATTGAATGAAGATAAGATAATCAAGGTGTAGTATGTCACCTGGAGTTGATGTAGGCTTGCAGAAATAAGTAGTAAGCAGATCTCTATTTGTTTACTGTTTCTTTTGATGATACTTGGCATCTGTATTTATGTATTTGGAGAAGTTCAGGTCCTCTTCTGGAGAGGTGTGTTGATCTCTACAACAGATAGATAGATAGATAGATAGATAGATAGATAGATAGATAGATAGATAGATAGATAGATATGAACAGGCTGAGATAGAGAGATAGATATAAAGACTAACATACATAGATAGATAGATAGATAGATAGATAGATAGATAGATAGATAGATAGATAGATAATTTACCAAAAGAAGGCTAGAGAAGTCATTGGATAAAACAAGTTAGAAATAAGATATGAATACAAGAATGAAAATAACTCATCAAATAAAATTATAATTTCTCAGCTATTTTGATTGCTATTATTTTATTAGAAATCCCCAATGAGAATTCTTCCATACAATACAATTTTATGCACAAATTATCTCAACTACTGACTTGATTTATTTCCTTTGTGCATGTATTATCTCCCAATGATGATTGACACCATGCTTGACAATGGATGACATCCAAAGAACATAATAGTTTACAATAGGAAGTACTTTTTATAGCAATAATGACCTCTCAGCCTTGTTTGTAACTTCTCACATACAAATGTCAACTATCAACAAGCACCATGTCTAACTTTTGAAAGCATGCCAAATACTGAACAGCTTTTCCTGCTGCACTGACTGAAGTAATAGACCCACTTGAAAAGATCAGTAAAGCTATCATTAAGAAAGCTTGATTCATGGAAATTTGAAGAAGCCAGCTATTAACCCTGTTGATGGCAACTTAAATTTTCTACCTTGATAGACACAGTAGTCCATTCCAAGTGGATGGAACATTTCACCAATGTTGCCGCTTTCTTCTTTTCTCTTCTAGACTCAGTTCGGTAAATGAAACTGGTTTATATCACAATTCTACAAGAGGGTAATCCTTCAATCACTAAAACAAACAGTACGAAATTATAATGTGATAAAAAACAAGAATAATAAAGCAATGTAATACTATTAATAAAATAATAATAACAAAGAAAAGGGTAATCATCCAGAGTGTGGGATTTTGATTGATTTGTTTTTTTATGGTTTATCAACCCTTTGTAGGTTATTTAAAGCCTAAACATATTTTGGTTTGTAGGAGTACTTGTTGTTCTCAAGAGGCCACCTATCTAAGTAATGATTGGGCTCAATGCTGCTTAACGTTGATGACTGAACAAGAACAGGTCTTTCCAGTGTGATTTGACAATAGGCCTAGAATGTTGTGCTTTAATTGATTTTTTTTTTTTTTATGGCTTATAAATCCTTTGTAGGTTATTTAAAGCCTAAACATATTATTGGATTGTAGGAGGTTGTGAACAATACCTGGTATTCACAAGCAATTTCCCATGTAAGTAGTGACCAAACTTGATGCTGCTTAACTTTGATGATTGAACAAGAACCAACCTTTTCCGTGTGACTTGACCATAGACCTGGAGTTTTGGGATAGGAAGCAAGAATAATAAATGGACTAGTATGTAAAAGCGTTAGTTAATGAATTTGATAACATAATGGTTGTGTGTTCAATCCCTGGGTATGGCAGTGTATTCCACTCAGTGGAAACAAGAGAGCAATAACTAAACAGTAGTAAATAAAAATAAGAACTAGATGAGATAGCCTCAGGCATGAGCAGTGGAATGAGAACACTCTAACCTGATAGATTAAATAAAGGGTTCAGAATTTCAACATACACATCGATTTCAGTTTCAACTACAAAAACTTACATTACTCACACATCCACATGTACACATAATCACACAATTAATATAAAACATCTATAAATACAAATATATATGCACACTATCTATCTATATATCTCTGATTGTATGTGTGTTATAGATTTTATATATATATGCAAACACATGCACATCACACACATATGCATATTTGACTGGATGACTCTTGCAAAGATAGACTGAAAGAGTAATTACCTTGGTAGGACTGAGGAGAAGGTAATATGAAATGACTCCATTATCCTTCCTGAGAAAGTATAGCAATTTACAGAAAGGAAAGGAATATTTGGTTAACCAGAGTTACCTACGTTCCAAAAGGACATGGCGTATTTAAGAAGTTCAGGTAGTTAAAGGAGAGTGTTTTTCTATCTCTCATTGTAGCAAGATGGAGACAAGACATTTGAATAATAATGGTAATAAAATAATAGTAATAATGAAGAATTTATTGACTCAGTGTTGTGATGAAAATTAATAACAATAAGCTGAATTTGATCTAGTATTTGTTGTAGGTATGATGATAAACTACATCCCGCAGCTTGGAATTACCTGTTAATTGCTGTTGTTCCCGGGTTCACCCTGATCTGGGGTAGTAGCACCTGTTAGGATCCCAGCTATGGACAAATAGTTAACCCCCAAACTGGGGTCAAAACACTATGAACGAATAAAAAAATACCTTTTATAGTAAAAATACCATTTTCAATACAAAGAATTACCGCATTTTTTTTGTAAAAAAAAAAATAAATAAATAAATAAATAAAAAATATACCAAATAAACAATATATTTTTTTGGGAAAAAATATTACCAACAATACATTTTTGTAAATAAACAAAAATATTACCAGCAATATATTTTTATCAAAAAAAATACAAATATTAACAGCAATACATTTTTTTAAAAAAATTGCCAGCCATACATGTTTGTAAATAAACAAAAATATTATTAAAAAAAAAAATATGCCCAGCAATATATTTTTGAAAAAAAAAATTCCAGTCATACAAGTAAATAAGCAAAAATATTATAAAAAAAATAAAATTACCAGCAATACATTTTTGAAAAAAAAATATGACCAGTCATACATGTTTGTAAATAAACAAAAATATAAAAAAATAAAAATATTATCAGCAATACTTTTTTTGAAAAAAAAAATATTATCAGCAATATAGTTTTGAAAAAAAATATTACCAGCAATATATTTTTGTAAAATAAATTACTAATTCACCCAAGAAAATTAAATTTTGGCATCAAATGACACATAAGTAGTTGATATGCTGCTAAAGAAACAAGCAAACAAACAGAACTAATAATGTAATAAAAGTAATACCAAAACGTCTATTGATCTAGAATAATGCAACAAAAATGAAGAATAACACAGAGTAAAGCTAGTAATAATAGTAATAACTAGCAGTAGAGCCCGGCGTTGCCCGGGGATGTAACAGTAAGAGATAGATCAAGTATCAACCATCATAAAGACTGAAAAATCAAATTGACAAAGATTATTGTTTAAGGTTGACAGACACACATGTCTTAATTATTTTTAATTGTTTTTTTTTTTTATTTTTTCTTCTTTTTTTTACGAATTGGTCAAACCCAAACTCAAACAAAAACATTGTTTTCAATCGTTATGAGTCTACCGATTGAATAGAATTTTATTATAAACAATTGTCTTGTAAAATGGAATTTTTAAAGCATTCTGAATGTAAAACTAAAAAAAAAAGTGTGCAAGACAATAAGAAACACTACCTGCCAAAAAAAAAAAGTGAAGTTTTGTTGAAATCGATTGAAAAATGTAGGAAATCTGATCCCATATATAAATGAACACAGACACACACACACACAAACAACCTGGGTTTTATAATAAGTATAACTCGATATGAGTTGTCCCCCTTTCGTTCTCGACAGCAATGCCTCTTAAACATGTTTTCAAATTGATTTCGTGCAAAAACAATTGTGTTTTTCCAATTTTTGGTGCTCTCAGAACCACCGCAAGGTAGTTTTACATAGTTCTGTGAAGTTTTGTTAAAATCGGTTGAAAAATGTAGGAAATCCGATCCAATATATAAACGTACAGACACACACACACACACACACACAACCTGGGTTTTATAATAAGTATGATGAAGAGTGTACTTAAAAAGAGCATTAGGATAAAAAATAAAAATAATATAATTAATATAATAATAGTAATAATGAAGAGCATATTCACCCAAAGTGTACTTTTAAAAGGAAACACTCATGAAAGAAAGAAATAATGAACTAATAGTAATAATAAAAGGCATAAGAACAAATCAATAGAGGCTTCCTTTACTTGTCAATCAGAAAATGTCCTCCAAGATCTGCCTCCATTTAATATTTAGATCACCTGGGTCGCCATGGAAAAAGGGGATGATGATGTAAGACTTAAAATTCCTAATGATCCTCGGCTGAAAACATCGCTGATGATGTGTGCTAAAACATCAAACAGATTTCATGAAATTGGAGCTGACAGAGGAACTACAGCCATTTTCTTTGCTTCTAGTTCTCAACTTAGTTATATTTTCAAAAGTCCTCTTTATCGTTTTATGATCTCTGTAAATCTTCTTTGATATCTCCAATGTGGACATTCCTCACTCAATAAGTTTGTTATTTTCTCTTTTTCAGTATTTGTTAGATTCTTTCTATTAACCATGCTTCAACATATATTTTGGAAAAAAAAATAAAAAATAAAAAAGCTTTTCTTACATTTCAGAGGTCTTGAACTAATATCAGTTTAATCTGTATGATAACTTCAGACTGCAGTTTTTATAATAAAGCCAACAACTTAAAATAAAACCTGTTGAAACTATGTAAAAATTTAATTCAAGCTTCATACCTCACACCTCTTGCGTGTGGAACACCCTTCCCAATTACTGTTTCCCTGAGAGCTATAATCTCCAACTATTCAAATGTAATGTCAATCGACACCTCCAGTTACCTTGATCTACCCACTATCCTTCTCCTCATCCTTTCTTCTATCACTCCTATCAGCTCTTGCTCCAAATCTTCTGCAACCCCCTGCATCCTAGTAGCTTCACGCCTTGCTCGGGGCGTAATGCTTAAAAAAAAAAGCTTTGTTTTGATGTCTAAATTAATCATTTAAAATGTGACAAAAATTGTTAAAGGTAAATTTGAGTTTTTGTGATTTGCATAATAACAACAGACGGATTATATATTGGTTCACACAGTCATACATATCTGGAGAAGACCTCAATATTAAAACATTTTATGCCTCATCAGGGGTACAACAAGGAAGAACTGCTGAGAACTCTAATCTATCTAATCTCTTCTGAGACTATGCTCTGTGTTTATACACAGAACAGATCTGAAGAGATGGGCACTGATCATTTAAACATTCCATACCACATCCCAAACAAATCTATAAATAGAAGATAACAATAATGCTTTTCCTCAAGGCCAATGTACTGATGATGAGCAGGGGATGTTGGTCTATGCTGAAGACATAGGTATTCATTTGGATAAAATGCTTTGAGCTACATGCCAGAATAAAGAAGTTATGAGATGACCAAACACCTGAAGGACAGAAAAAAATCATGGATCTATTTTTGACCACTGTGGGATGTGAAGCCATTAGACAAATTTTGTTTATTGATAACTTGACATTTAAGGAAGTCAATAAAATAATATTGAGAAATATTCAACCAAAGAAAAGATTGGTCATAGCTGAACCAACCAAATTCTTGAGACAAGAATTTGGGAAGCTTATAAGGAAATATCTAATAAGGTTAAGAGATAACTTCTGAAGACTCAGAGTACAAAACATGGGACACTGAGAATAAAAGAACTAGATCAAGGTCCCACATAAGGAGAAATACTCGTGAAACCAGCGAGAGGTGGAGGGAATGTAGGAGAAGCCGTAGATCCACATGGGGCGTGAAATCCAAAAGATTCAGGGAGATGCAATGGGATTGGTTTAGCTAATAAGTAATTAGTATAAAGAGACTATAACTATAGCTCACAGGCAACTTGGAGTCAGTGTATGTAGAATATCTAGAATATCTATGGTTACTAATTTTGACCATCATAACACAAAAAAAAATTGCCAATGTGGAATTAGTAAATACTAAACATTTCAAATACTTAGCATGTGGATCAGTTATCACAAATTTAGTATAGAAATTGAACATCGAATAGTCAGCGCTAGGAGTAGTTTTGCCCAGATCCACAAGTTGCTACAAAACTAAAACATTAACCTCAGAACTAGAGTCACATTCTTAAATGACTTTGTCAGATCAAGACTTTCATATGGATGTCATGCATTGCATCAAACTCATTCAGAAATATCTAATGTCAGTTGCCTGCAACCAGATTCTCACATCAATGGTTAAAAATGGCATTGAGCAAGATAAACCTGTGTATCCTTCTTTTAACCTTGTGGACTGGCACTACAGAATCCCAAACAACTGTACCAGATGACAGAAAGTACATTAAAAAAAATGAATAGCATATAGAAAACGAAGAGAAAACAATGACATAATCAAGATGCTGATGTTCCACACTACTTCAAACAAAAGGTTAGGAAGGAAACCCCCATTAATACTGAAAAGAGCAATAACAGTTACTGAACTTGAGAAGCCTATTTCCCAGAAAAATTCTTTTAATAGAAAGATTTTATAAATTTCAACCAACACTAGCACTGGCTACTCGGTTAATGAATGCCAATTTTTTTCTTATAAAGAAACAACTCATATTATCATTACTATTACTATATTCGTCCAGAGTGTTGTGATAAAAAGCAACTATATTAAACTGGATTAAAATTAATGATAAAATAATAATAGTATTCAAAAACATATTGACCCAAAGCACCATGATAAAAAGAACAATAGTAAGCAAGAATAAAACTAGCAAGAAAATAATAGTAATAATTTTTAATAGTAATAATGATAATATAATAATAGTAATAATGAATAATATTAATAAAAATAATATAATAATAATAGTAATAATAATACTATAATAATAATAATTTTTTAATAGTAATAATGAATAATAGTAATAACATTAATAATAATAGTAATAATAATAATAATATAGTAATAATAGTAATAATGAATAATATTAATAATAATAATAATATAATAATAATCTTTTAAATAATAATAAATAATAATAGTAATAATAATAATAATAATAATAATGTAATAATAATAGTAATAACAGTAATAATTATTAATATTAATAATAATAATATAATAATTGTAATAATAATACTATAATAATAATCTTTTAATAGTAATAATGAATAATAGTAATAATAATAATAATATAATAATAATAGTAATAATAATAATAATGTAGCAGTAATAGTAATAATGAATAATAGTAATAATATTTATAATAATAATATAATAATAATAGTAATATTAATAATAATATAATAATAGTAATAATGAATAATATTAATAATAATGTAATAATAGTAATAATGAATAATAAGAATGAACTATTTTTTTCTTTCAAATGAAGTCCTCCATTCAATTTCCCTTTATGAGAAATACAACAGAGAAGAAGATGATGTACGATTTTATGTCAGTTTGAAGTATCTTGTGTTTTTACGACCAGCAATAAAGTATATGAAATAGTGCCTTCAAAGCAACCACCCACTTGAAATGAGAATAAAATGATAGATAAATAAATGAAAACCTTTGGAATCAAGTGATAGCAAAGCAGACATTGAGGATATTAGCAGTCATGGTTGGAACTGAAAGGAATCCTGGACTTGGCATCCTGTCCCTCAAAGTATTACCCGGCTGCCCATTACTGGATGAAAGATCATTGAGGTAATTCTGATATTACCCCTTCAGAGTTGCAAGTTGCACATTATAATGCTGAGAGGGGTAGGGAGGGGAGACAGAAGATTCAGATTTTTCACTGATTGAAGAGAAAAAGGGATTTCTTAATCTGAGATGTTAAAAGTGACAGTTGTTCTCATGTGTCAACTAAACACCAGACTGTACAAATGAAGCCCTGAATAAACAACAAAATATATTGGAAACAAGGTTTGAGTTTTCGTTTCTCATTGTGGCTGTCATTTTCACTTCTTGTTTCAATGTGAATGCGCAACAGGCCTTTCCCAGTTTTTGCTGCATATCAATACAAACAAGAATAAAGATGCAATGTTTTGTTTGTACAGTCAGTTTCAGTAATAAAAAAAAAGAAAGAAGAGTTCATCCTTTTTTCACTCCAGTTGCTGGAGTAGATCAAATTTGACCTGTCTCATTTTCATCAGTCATCAGTAGACAGATTTGGATCAGAAGGTAAATACCTTTTTAGGCCTTTGCATATGACACCAAATGATTGATTGATTGAGTCCTTTTCTATGGTTTATCAATCCTTTGTAGGTTATTTAAGCCTAGAAAATCTGTTTTTTTTTTTTAGATAATAATGATTTAGTGATACAAGCTTTACTAACTATGGCTGGGGGAGAAGGGTTTAATACATACCTTTCCCAAGGATATTTGTGTATAAGTGAATATAACACTCAATGGGAATTGGAACTCAACTCCCTGATTACTAATTCTGAGCCATTATTCCATTACACTACCTGTACATCGAAGCTTAGAGCACTTGATATTTCTAAGAGGTCACCCATTTAAGTACTGAAAGGTATGGATCAATTTCTTCTCTTCTCCCAGATCTGTGTTAATTAGTAAAACTTATATCATTAAATCATTATTATCTCAAAAAAAAAAAAAAAAATTCTTACAATCTAAAAATATTTTCTGGCTTTAAATAACCTGCAAAGAGTTTGCAGGTTATTTATAGTAAGAAAATATTTCTGGAGATAATAGTGATTTACTGATACAATTTCTACTAATTAACCCATAGCTGGGGAAGAAAAGTTGGATTCATGCCTTTCCCAAGGGTATTTGCGAGTAAGTGAATATATAACAAATCTGATTGGAATTGGAACTCAGCTATCTGATTTTCAATTCTGAGCCCTTACCACTTACACAACCCACACATCCAAATTTGCAGCATCTAGTATTCTCAAGTGCTCATCCATCTAGGTACTGACAAGTCTCAATGTTGCTTAACTTCAGTGATCTTGCCAGTGTTTCAAACTGATGTCGCCATAATCCTTTCTTGTATTACATTTTCAAGATGTGCATTATCTTGTAGTAAAATAACTAGTTGGCCTATCCAATGTGTCACTCAAATGAGCCAGTTGCTAACTACTGTTTTTCACAGTAACAGTTTGTTTGGGTTCCAGCAATTCCTTTAGGTAGATATCGACAGCTATGATAGATATGAACTAACCTCATAGATAGATAGATAGATAGATAGATAGATAGATAGATAGATAGATAAACATGGATGGAGATAAATAGGTAGATAGATATGAACAGAGTAAGACAGAGAGAAAAAGAGTGAGGGATATGGGCTTAGATAGATAGATAAAGAGAGATAGGCTGAGATAGATAGGTAGAGACAGAGAGAGTGAAAGATATGGGCTGAGACAGATAGGTATTTAAAGACATAGATAGATAGATAGATAGATAGATAGATAAACATGGACTGAGATAGTAGATAGATATGAACAGAGTAAGATAGAGAGAGAAAGAGTGAGGGATATGGACTGAGATAGATAGATAGAGAGAGATAGATAGATTGACTGAGATAGATATGTAGAGAGAGAGAGAGAGCAAAAGATATGGGATGAGACAGATAGGTAGAGAGAGAGATATTTAAAGACTGAGATAGATAGATAGATAGATAGATAGATAGATAGATAGATAGATAGATAGATAGATAGCTAGATAGATAGAACATTATGAACTGCTGGAGATAGATAGATAGATAGATAGATAGCTAGATAGATAGATTAGATGAACTAGATTGATAGATTAGGAACAGGAGATAGATAGATAGATAGATAGATAGATAGATAGATAATGAATAGCCTGATATAGATAGATAGATAGATAGATAGATAGATAGATAGATAGATAGATAGATAGATAATGAATAGCCTGAGATAGATAGATAGATAGATAGATAGATAGATAGATTATGAATAGTCTTAGATAGATAGATTATGAACAGTCTTAAATAGATAGATAGATAGATTATGAAGTCTTAAATAGATAGATAGATGTTGGTTTCAAACTGTGTAAGAATGACTGCAAAACACTTTTACCTTCCTTTTTATATCCAGAAGCACACAAATTTTTTTGTTTTTTTTTTTCTAGTTAATAAAATAGGCCGGTTTGCAGTTTCATCCGACTCAATCCCAATCTGTCTTGCCTCAAAGTCAGAATATTATGTTTGCTTGTCTTAACTTGGTTTTGTGTGTTGACACCAATTCTTAGTTTGTGAACTTTTTGCCATATTATTGATGATTTGCCTTGCATATATTGCTCGCTTGCTTTATATTATTTTTGCCCTGTTCTTTTCGTTGTTATTGCTTATTGTAAACTTGTCAATTCTATTTGTTGGAATGTTCTGTTACTTAATCAGCATTTGACCATTTGGCTGCCCACTCTACAATAGATTATGAACATCCTTAGATAGATAGATAGATAGATAGATAGATAGATAGATAGATAGATAGATAGATAGATAGATTAGGAACAGCCTGAGATAGATAGATAGATAGATAGATAGATAGATAGATAGATAGATAGATAGATAGATAGATAGATAGATAGATAGATAGATTAGGAACAGCCTGAGATAGATAGATTATGAACAGCCTGAGATAGATAGCTAGATAGATAGATTATGAACAGCTGGAGATAGATAGATAGATAGATAGATAGAACCAGAGAGTGAAACAGACAGACAGCTATAGAGATAGAAAATTGTGATCCTTTCTTTTAAGGTACCACAGTAAACAACCTCCATGTTGGATGTTCTTCAATATAAACATTGTTTTGGCTGCTGTAAAGGTCAGCATTGTTTGTATTCAATAACACATATGAATTCAAAACTCTTGCAAGTATCTTTTTTTTTTAAAAACCATTTCAGTTGATCTTTTTTGTGAAGTTTTCATTATTATTGTGAATATGAATGGAAACATTTTTTATTTCTCTTTTATAAAAGACTGTTTTCCAAATTTAAGATGAATTTCCCAAGTAACATCTTCATTGATCTACTGTGCATTCCCCAACTCTCTCTTTCTCTCTCTCTCTCTCTCTCTCTTAGACTTTTAAACTTTCTTTACTTTCTCTTTCACTCTTTCTCTCATTCTTATTCTTCTTTTCTCTGTCTGTTCAAATTGCATTCTATCTCTCTCTCTATTTTTCTTATCTTTTTCTTTAATATCTTTTTTGAACTACTTACTTTCTAGCTCTCTCTCTTTCTCTCTCTCTCTGTTTTTTCTGTCTTACACTTTCACTTTTCCTTACTCATTTTTTCTTTTAGTCGGATGTGTGGGTGGTGTAATGGATAGTGGCTCAGACTGAGAAATCAGAGAACTGAGTTCAAATTCCAGTCAAATTAATTACATTTGCTTACACAAATAACCTTAAGAAAAATATGAATCCATCTCTTCTCCACCTATGAGTCAAATTATTCTTACAATCCAATATATGATTCAGTTTTAAATAACCAGTGAAAGGGTTGATAAGCTGTAAAAAACAAATCCATCAATGAAATCTTTTCTTCATATGCATGGAGATTGTCCAATATTCACCGCCATCTCTTTTTCTGATTGTTAGCAGTAGTTTCCTTCTGATTCTACCTCATGCTTCCTTATTAAACACATGTTCTGTTCATGTTATTTCCAGCATTCATTGATAGAACAACCTACTATATTATCATTATTATGTTTTAGGATGTATCAAAAGCATATTTTTTTTTACAGCCCTTTACTCCAAAGAATATTTCATGTTCGCATTTAAAGACTATAACTGTACTATATTTTTAGTATATAATTTTTTAATCATTTCGTCTCAAGGTGATAATGCCACTAAGATGCAAGGGGTTACTGGAAGTAAAAGAGAGTGAGAAGACTTTAGTGAAGAGAAAGGACAATGAAAGAATACAGTTCAAGAAGACAGAAGATAGCAATTAATATTGCATTTAAATTGTTGAAGAACATGGTAGAGAAGCAAGAAACTAGAAATGAGTTCCACAAACAAAAAATGAGAGAAAAGAATCTATTAGAATCAAACTTATGATTAAATCTAGCTGTTTAAATCATAAAATGATGAGAACTAGTTGTCAATTAAGTAGTATGCTTAAATTGACATGGTCGAGATAAAAAGGAGGAGAGCTCATTGGAACAATAACTATGAAAATATTTACAGAAAAGACAGAGGGAAGCCACATCACAGCAGTGGGAAAGAGGTTCAGGTTTGGTTTGTTTTATGGCATATCAACTTCAATGGGTTATTTAATGCCAACAAGTTTTTTTTAATGCTGGTAATATTTTTTTTCTTCAAAAATCTATGCTGGTAATAATTTTTTCAAAAAATGTACAGCTGGTAATAATTTTTACAAAAATGTATTTCTTTTATTAAAACCTATTTTTACACTTTCATAATGTTTTGACCCCAGTTTAGGGGTTTACTATTTGCCCATACCTGGGACCTAACAAGTGCTACCACCCCGCATCAGGCTGGACCTGGGAACACTAGAAATTAAGAGGTGGTTTCACGCTCCTCAAAACTTCCTGATCAGATGCCTTGTTGCAGGATGTAGTTTATCGTCTTGCACAGGACACGGATGGACAGGTGGGAAAGAGGTAAAAGACAATAATCTGAGGAATCAGAAGGTTTAACAGAGTTCTTAAAGACAGGAACTTTCAGAAGAGGATTTACAAGATGCTGGAAAGAAAGAAAAGAAGTAGCAAAACATTTGTTGTAGTTTGGAGAGAAAAGGAGCCACTTCAGGAGCATCTTTCCTTAGGACTATTGCAGGAATATTATCAAGTCAGCAAGCCTTGTAGTGATCTAGTTTTGAGATGATAGCAGAATAGTTAGAGTCATGTGCATCTCACTCAATTCAGATTCCATTCTGGTGGAAAGAGCAGATAAAGATTCTCCTGAAAAGTCAGGAGTGGAGATGGTAGAGTCTCTCTGAGCAAAGCAGTCTGATTGATGACTATTATATATCATGATGTATCAAATGTCTTTACATTTTTTTTAGGCCATCACTCCAAATATCTTTCTTTAAATACTGTGACCCTCATTTTTACATGTTCCTTCCTTCACATGTCTGCTCTACCCCTCCCTTAGTTAGCACGACCATTACACCCTGCCAATACACTCAGTAACCCCTTGTATCTTAGTGACTTTATTGCCTTGCTTAGGGGTGAAATGATTTTAAAAAAACAAAAAAATTTATAATTTATAGCAGATTTTATGGAGGACATGAATGTGGAGAAGAAGGAAATTACTGGAAAGTAATTGAAACTCACCTGAAGTGAGCTGAATGTGTAATGCTCCTCATGCCAATGACACTTCCACCGAGCTTCTCTATGGCATATGACTTCACTGAATTTCTTTTGATGTGTTCCTCTCAAATTTATATTTAAACTGGGGTCCTCAGGAGAGAATGTGCACTGTTTCGGGGCCTTCCTCGCAATGGTTTCAGTTGCACAACAGCCAAACTCACTGATGTGAGGCCCCATTATAACGATATACAAGTGTGTTGTAGATAAACTAGTTCAAATGTCTAACAGCGAAATTAAATTTACAAAAATTCCGAAAAACGGCAAACCTCATGTTCTGAGAATGCAACATGAACCTCATTATGCATACATGATCAGTCATGTCATGCCGTCATGTTCGCTGAAACACTCCACGGGGTATTTCTTTTTTTCCATATCCACATAGAACTATTCTCAGTTATTAGGCGTTTTATACTTTTGGCTGTATTACGCCCTTTGATTCCAATTTGGCACAGAAATTGGTACAGAGTGCCTGAAACAAAACCCCTTGCTCCAATTTCCACTGCTCTAACAATTGCATTATACCCCTCCTTTATTAGCTCTTATTAGAATATTATTATTATTATTATTATTATTATTAGAATAATTATTATTAGAATAAAATTTTTATTAAATAAAATTTATCATTTTTTAAATATATCACATGGAACTGAAATCAAATAATTAAAATTGAAATTAAAAAAAATAAGATTAAAAATAAAAAGCATAAAAAAAGCAATCTAAGAAATCCAAGAAAAAAGGATGAATGGAATACTGTAAAGAAAAACAGACATGTTTAATCTTATTGTGAAACTTTATTAAATGCAGTCAGACTACTGGCAATAAGGGAGGTTTGGCCATCTCTTTTATAGTTGAGTAGTTTAAGGAGGAGATAACTATGATTGTCTTCCACAACAATTACAAAAAATAGATTTGCTAAAAAGAAAATTTTTAAAAGTGTATTTAAAAAAGAGCAAAGTCAATAAAAAATAAACAAAAAAATATTAAAAAAATTTAAAAAGAAAGAAAAAGAAACAGCATTTTAAAAATGGCTGATACATTTATGCAAATCAGTATTTGCATTTATGCAAATGTCTTTGGTTTCAGGTAACCTTTCTTGGATTGCTGAACTATTCAGAAGAGACACTTTCATGTGTGAAAACCAAATGAGAGCAAACATTTTTTTTTTTCAGGTCATTGTTGACAAAAGAAAAGTTTTAAATCACATGTCAGTATGACTTCTATTATTTGCTGCTGGATTATCACAAATAATTCACTAAGATTAGATTGTCAACCTCTCATGATCATAAAGCTTTGGTTAAGGGGGAAGCATCTTTGGATTTATACAATGAGATTCTCAACCAGCTTTCCAGCAAACGGCCAATGCCAACCCCATGTTGCATCTCCATTTTCATTCATGTCATGTCAGTGTGCACCAAAAACTAGGAAATGCCTGCTGCACATTCACAAGGAAACAAAAGATGAAAACAAATGCCATGTCAAGAAACAAATACCTGAACTATGTTTTCAATATCAAAAAAATAGGTGTTTTATTTAGGGCTTCACTAACTTGGCCTGAGTGAGGAAGTAGGTTACACTTCTGCCATAATGGCTGAGCCCTTCCTCACCTACTAATTCTCCGACCATCTACACATCCTGACATGTGACTGACAATATAAACAGGCAACACTTGAAATACCCAAGTGAAAGTATGTACCCTGCGATGGACACACCAGAACTGACTTCCTTGATTCCAACAGTGAGTGTTAATATAGACCAGCAACTGGAAATCTTCAATGTCCTGCTTTGTTGTCACTTGACCCCAAATGCTTTCTTTCACTTATTTGTTCTTTAGGCCACATCACATTGAAACATTGGTTCTAATACAATCAATGAAGTTAAGCAAATTCAAGCCTAGTCAGTACCTAGATGAGTGACCATTTGAGAATACTATGTCCTGTAAGCTTGGATTTGTAGGTGATGTAGTGGCTAATGGCTCAGAATTATTAATCGAAGGGCCTAGTTCTAATTCACTCATTTGCCAATGCTCTTAGGAAAGGTATGAATGCACCACTTTATCCCCAACCTTTATTTTGTCTACTTGCCTTGCCTTTTCGTGGTGTCTCAGTTATCTCCCTTTAACTGAACTCACTAAGTTTTTGTTCACCACTGCAGTAGCCAGGTATTGAACTCACAGCACCAGTCCATAAACTTCAAAAAAAGCATGTTGCTCTTCTTTGAAGCTCTGGTTTAACATTGAGTACAAATTCTATTTGGGGATCATCTGAAAATGAGTAACACACTACAAAAACTTTTACTTTAATTTTGTGAATAACTAAGTGGTCAACCATTCTTTTTACTGCATACAATCAATGCTTTTACCCATGTGTCCTTGAGAACACCAGTGTATGAATTTTGGAAACTTATAAACTTAATGTCTCAGTAAACTTTTTTTACCAGAGCTCATATTGCAACTTTTGCTGTTGTTATTGCTT